AGAGGGCCCCCAGAAGCCCCCAAGACGGCCCCGGAGAGCCCCGGCACGCTTAAAGACGGGCCCAAGACGCCCGAGAGTCGCCCCAGACGGCCCAAGAGGCGTCCAAGACGCCCGAAGAGGCCTCCCAAGAGGCCTCCCAAGAGGGCCCCGAGCGACAGAAATCGTTGATTTTTATTGTGTTTTTCTATGTTTTCGGCCTCCTCGCCTCTTCGGCTTCCCGACGCTCCAAGACGGCCCAAGAAGTCCCCCCGACCGCTCCAAGACGGCCGAAGAGGACCCCAAGAGAGCCCCAAGACGGGCCAGGAGGGCCCCAAGACGGTCCCAAGACGCCCCAGGACGGCCCCAGGACGGCCCAGGAGGCGCCCCAGACGGCCAAGAGGCACCCAAGACGGCCCCAGGAGCGGCCCAAGACGGCCCAAGACAGCCCAAGAGGCGCCGAGGCGGGCCTCAGACGGCCCCAAGACGGCCCAAGAGGCACCCAAGACGGCCCGAGAGGGCCCTAAGACCCCCCCGGGAGGCCAAAAACAAGGCCGAAGAGGCTCCGAAACGGCCCCCACGAAGCCTTCAGTGGCTTCAGAATTCCCTCCAGGAGCGGGGGAGCGGACGAGAGGCGACATGCATATCGCAGGCAAAAACGCCCCAAGACATCCCCAAACGGCCCCCACGAAGCCCTACGTGGCCTCAGAATTGCTTCCAGGGGGGGGGAGCGGACGAGAGGCGACCGGCATATCGAAGGCACAAAAGAACAATGTTGGACGCTCCGAGGGCCTTCGATGTTTCTCTGTTGGGGAGAGTCGTCGTAGGATCGACGATTGCCGACCGAGGGCATGGAGAATCCAGCGAAAGAGGAGAAGAAGGTGGAAGAGGAGGAGGAGGAGGAGGCGGAGGAGGAGGAGGAGGAGGGAGGAAGCAGCAGGACCTCCGAGCAGCAGCAGCAGCTGAGGAACACAGGAGAGCAGGAGGTCCTGGAGGGTGTGGAGAGCGCCTTCAACTGGCCACGTCGAGCTGATGTCGTGGACGGAGTCCACAGGTCTGCCCTAGTCAGCTGCAACGCTGGGATCAGTGCGTGCGTGAAGGGCTGGCAGTGGCAGCGGGCGCTGGCGCTGCTGAGCGAGATGTGGGAGGCGAAGCTGGAGCCCGACGTCATCTCTTCTACAATGCAGGGGTCCGCGCGTGCGAGAAGGTCTTCTGTCTTGACTGCCTTTCCGGACCCTGCGGGGCGCCCTCCAGGGCGCAGATGCCCCCCAAACGGCCTCGGGATGGCTCCGAGAGGCTCTAGGGGGCGCCGAGACGGCCTCAGAGCACCCTTGGGAGCCCCAAGACAGCCTTCGAGGCCCCCGGACGGCCAGGAGGCTCGAGACGGCCCAGGAGGGCCTCCAGCAGAGCCCCAAGAGGCCCAAATCGTGCCATTCCCGACGGGAAACGTGCATGTTCAATCTACCTTGCTTGTTCGTCCTCGCAGCGTCCAAGACGGCCATACGGGCCCCGCAGCTCGCCCCAAGACGCGCCCAGACGCTCCCAGGAGGGCCCCCGAACGGCCCCACACGGCCCCGGGACTGACTGCTCCAGAGGCACCCGGGACGGCCCAAGACGCACCCAAGACAGCCCCAAGAGCAGCTAAGAATGGCCCAAGACGGCCCCACCGCCCCGTCTCCAAGATGGCTGTAGAGGCCCCCGCCGCCCCGTCTCCAAGCCTTTCCCTTTGGACAGTCTCCAAGACGGTCTCTGGGCCGTCCGGGACGGCTCCAGAGGCGCCAGAGACGGCTCAAGAAACACCAAAGACAGCCCCAAGAGCGCCCAGTATTGGCCCATGATGGCCCCAAGACTGTCCCAAGATGGTCCGAGAGGCGCCCAAGACGGCCCCACATCGCCCCAAGACGGCCCACGACGCACTCAAGACTGCCCAAGGGGGCTCCGAGAGACGCCCAGGAGATCGAAAAGAGGCAGCCAGGGGGAGACGCCCTGGGCTCCGAGAGACGCCCAGGGCTCTCTTGGGGAGCGTCGAATTTCCAGCATCGTCTTGGGGGCTTCGTGGACCCTCTGGGAGTTTGGGGACGTCTTGGGGCGGTGTGCTCGAAAGGTCGATTCGTGTCCTCGCTCTGGGGCCCGTCTTAGGGAGTTCCGTCTCGCCGCCCTCTTGCGGGCCTCCTAGGCCGCGCCCACTGGCCCCATTGTCACCACACTACCAGATCAAAGTATCATTCGGCCCCTGTGAAGAGCAGATAAACTTCTCACGGCTACCTTCCCCGCAGAAGCTATGATGAACACATACTGCGGCGTCAGAAACAGCTTCTGTCCACACCATGTCATGTCTACATGGGTGTGCTTCCACAGACACCGCCTCAACCACCGCGTTCCTGCCTTCAGGCCTGCTTCCTGCATCCCACGCCCACCTCCCCCTCCAGCGGCCACCTCCTCCATCCACGCCGTCCCCTCCAACCTCACCTTACCCGCGAGGCTTCAGAGACGCTCCAATTCCACGTCCACGCCATGGCGGGCAAATTCCGCGGCCACAAGGTCGCGGGTTAGCCCGAGTCTATATTCTAATGCGGGGGGCCGTGCGTGCCAGAAGGCTGCATGCTCCATGGTGTCAAAACCGCCCCGGGCCGCCCCGGGCTGGCCCCGGAGCCGCCCCTTGCCGCATATGGAGGCTCCAAGTCACGCCATGAGGGCCCCAAGAGGCTCCCAAGATGGGCCCAAGACGCCGAAGATTGGCCTAAGACGACCCGAGAGGCGGCCACAATGCCCCACGAGGCCTCCCAGCAGGGCCCCGAGCGGGAGAAATCGTAGATTTCCATTGTGTTTTTCTATGTGTTTCGCCTTCTCCCCTTTTCGCCGTCCCTGCGCTCCAAGACGGCCCAAGAGGTCCCCAACGCCGCTCCGAGACCACCGAAGAGGCCCCCCAGGAGGGCCTCAAGACGGGCCAAGAGGGCTCCCAGACGGCCCCCAGACGCCCCAAGACGGCCCAAGGACGGCCCAGGAGGCGCCCAAGACGGCCCAAGCGGCACCCCAGGCGGCCCCAAGAGCGGCCCCAGACGGCCCACGACAGCGCAAGAGGCGCCCACGCGGGCCTCCGACGGTCCAAAGACGGCCCAAGAGGCACCCCAGACGGCCCAAGAGAAGCCTACGAGCCCCCCGGGAGGCCCAAATGAAGTCCCCAGTGGCTCCGAACCGGCTCCCATGGACCCTGAGTGGCTTCAGATTTGCCTCCAGGGGGGGGGGGGAGCGGACGAGAGGCGACAGGCGCCTCGCAGGCGCAACACTTCCGTTCTCACAGGGCCTGGGGCACCCAAGACAGCCTCAAGAGCGGCCCAGGGCGGCCCAAGACGACCACCCGACGGTGCCCAGACTGCTCCAGAGACGCACAAGGCGGACCCAGGCAACCCCCAGACGGCCCCGAGAACGCCTCAGATGGCCTGCAGGCGGCCCAAGAGGCTTCCCAAACGCTCCAAGTGGGCTCCACGACGAGCCCCAGGAGAGCTCGAACATTGAAAAGTCGTCCCATTCCCTCGGGGAAACGTGCATTTTGGCAGTTCCCGGGCTTGCCCTCTTCACAGCGTCCAAGACGCCCATGCAGGGTCCCAGGATGGCCCTAGGACGGCTCCTGAGGCGCCCCTGGCGGCCCACGGGGTACCCAAGACAGCCTCAAGAGTGGCTCAGGACGGCCCAAGACGACCTCCAGACGGTGCCCAGACTGCTCCAGCGACGCCCAAGGAGGACCCAGGCAACCCGCAGACGGCCCCGAGAACGAGCCCCAAGAGAGCTCGAACACTGAAAAATCGTTTCATTCCCGCGGGAAAGCGTACATTTTGGCAGTTCCTGGGCTTGCCCTCTTCATAGCGTCCAAGACGGCCATACAGAGGCCCAATATGACCCTGGGACGGCTCCTGAGGTGCCCCTGGCGGCCCACGGGGCACCCAAGACAGCTTCAAGAGCGGCCCAGGACTGCCTTAGACGACCCCCAGACGGTGCCCAGACTGCTTCAGAGACGCCCAAGACGGCCCCAGACAACCTTCAGACGGCCCTGGACCGCCTCAACACGGCCCAAGAGGCACCCAAGACCGCCCAAGCCCAGGAGGCTTCCAGGAGGCCGAAAAGAAGCGCTGAGAGGCTCCAAAACGACCCCCAGGGGCCCCAAGATCACGGCCCAAGAAGCAACGAAGACAGCACCAACAGCAGCCAAAGACGACCTAAGACGGCCACAGACGGTCCCAAAACGGCTTCCAGCACACCATGGGCCTCTGATGCTTGTTTGGCGCTCCTTGCCGGATTTGGCCTCAAAATCCCTCGCCCTTTTTGTCGGTCTGGAGCCTTGTCCGCGGCCTCTTGGGGCCATGCCGTGTTTCGCTCTTCTGGTGGCCCAGAAACGCCTCGGCCGACCCCAGAAGCGCGCGCGGCCGCCAAGGGCGCGTCGGGAGGGATTCGGGGTCGGCGGCGCGATGGCCCAAAATCGGTCCCGCCGAATCTGGGCGGGCGGCCATGATGAAGCTATCTGGGAGGCGTGTTGGTGATCTTGGGGGCCCGTCAGAGGGCCCCCAGACGCCCCGAGAAGGGCGGCCCCAACGCACCGACAAAGCCCGACCCGATCCCAAGGGAGCCCTTGAGCGCCCCAGCTGAGGCGTCCAGACGCTCCTCCGTCTCCTCGCTCAGCGATGTGTGGCAGGCGAACATGACGACATTCATCCTGATCGCCTTGCAGCAGCACCCCTTCACCCCGCAAGTGGACGTAGTCCACGGGTCGGCCCTAGCGGCCACCTCCCCCTCCAGCGGCCACCTCTTCCATCCACGCCGTCCCCTCCAACCTCTCCTCACCTGCGAGGCCCCGGAGACACTCCATTTCCACGTCCACGCCATGGCGGGCAGACTCCGCGGCCGGGAGGCCGCGGGTCAGCCCTAGTCAGCTATAATGCTGGGATCAGCGCGTGCGAGAAGGGCGAGCAGTGCCAGCGGGCCCTGGCGTTGCTGAGCGAGATGTGTGAGGGGCGAAGCTGGAGCCCAAGGTCATCAGGTACAACGCTGGGATCAGCGCTTGCGAGAAGGGCGAGCAGTGGCAGCGGGCCTTGGCGCTGCTGAGCGAGATGTGGGAGGCGAACGTGGAGGCCAACGTCATCAGCTATAGTGCTGGGACCAGCGCGTGCGCGAAGGGCGAGCAGTGGCAAGGGGCCCTGGCGCTGCTGAGCGAGATGTGGGAGGCGAAGCTGGAGCCCGACGTCATCAGCTACAGTGCTGGGATCAGCGCGTGCGCGAAGGGCAAGCAGTGGCAGCGGGCCCTGGCGCTGCTAAGCGAGGAGATGCGGGAGGCGAAGCCGGAGCCGGACGTCATCAGCTATAATGCTGGGATCAGCGCGTGCGCGAAGGGCAAGCAGTGGCAGCGGGCCCTGGCGCTGCTGAGCGAGATGTGGGATGCGAAGTTACGGGCCAACACCATCCGGTGCGAGAGTGGCGAGTAATGGCAGCTGGCTTTGGCACAGCTGAATGAGATGCGTGCGACAACGTTTGGACCGAGCTTCAACATTGATACACGCTCCAACGGCAAAGTAAAACCCGAAGAGGTTGATCTGACATTCCACGCGAGCGCTGGAAACACAGATGATCGAGCTAGGTGTATCGGGCAGGCTCGCAATCGTGTGTGCCCCACAGGAACTCATGTTCTCAAGCGTCGTAACGGAAGCAAGCGTACCCACCGCGGTGGGCACTTGTAGCACCAACTATGTACGACGTGGCAGTGTAGCTACCACAGCTGAGGTTGCTGTCTCGCAGCAGTGGATTCGCAAACGATCCCCTGGCAACGTAGATGATGCGGCGGGCGTTGGCGCTGTGGGTGGCCTGACCTTCTTCACCGATGTCGTGAAGTCTCACGTGGACGAGAGCGGCACACTCACCCGGATATAGATTTGCGCGAAGTGAAGCCGGGCGTTTCTACTGACCACATGAAGCAGGCTATGGGTGCGCTGCTCTTTATCAGTTGGGCCGTCCGAGAGCGCCCACCACCGGTTCCGACGAAGCTCTTCCTTGCTTTGCCAGAAGATCTCGATGAAGAGGTACGTCGCTGCTTTGAGTCACTGGGTGTTTAGATTTGCGTATGGCCAGATATGCCGACATCAGTGGCCGCATCTCCACCTGCGGAGCCGTGGGCAAGGAGGGCGAGCAGTGACAGCGGGCTTTAGCACTGCTCAGCAAGGTATGAGAATCGAGCCAATAGGCGGTCCCCACAATTTTTGATTCGCGTGCGAGAAGTCCCCACTCCCCGGGCCCTCCGGGGCGCCCTCCGGTGCGCAGATGCCCCAAAAACGGCGTCGGGACGGCGCCGAGAGGCTCCAGGGGGCGCCTAGGCGGCCTCAGAGCACCAACTGGGAGCCCCAAGACAGCCCTAGAGGCCCCCAAGGCAGGCCAGGAGGCTCCCAAGACCTCCAGGAGGGCCCCGAGAGGCCCAAATCGTCCCATTCCCGACGGGAAACGCACATTTTCAGTGTATCTTGTTTTTTCGTCCTCACAGCGTCCAAGACAAGACGGCTATACAGGTCTCCCGGGAAAGCCCTCGAACGGCCCCACCGCCCCGGGACGGCTCCAGAGGCGCCTGAGACGGCCCAAGACGCACCCAAGACAGTCCCATGAGCAGTTAATAATGACCCACGACGGCCCCACCGCCCCGTCTCCAAGACGGCGGTAGAGGCCCCCACCGCTCCGTCTCTAAGCCTTTCAGCCTGCACAGTCTCCAAGACGGTCTGTGAGCCGTCCGAGACGGCTCCAGAGGCGCCTGAGACGGCCCAAGAAACACCCAAGACAGCCCCAAGAGTGCCCAAGATCGGCCCAAGATGACCCCAAGACGGCCCCAAGATGGTCCGAGAGGCGCCCAAGTCGGCTCCACATCGCCCCAAGACGGCCCAATAGGCACTCAAGACTGCCCACGAAGGCCCCGAGAGACTCCCAGGAGGACGAAAAGAGGCCCCCAAACGGCCCCCAAGAGGCCTTGGATGTTTCTCTCCTGGGGAGCGTCGAACTTCCAGCGTCGTCTTGGGGGCTTCTTGGACCCTCTAGGAGCCGTCTCTGCGCCAGTTTGGGACGTCTTGGGGCGGTGCGCTCGAAAGGTCGATTCGTGTCCTCGCACTGGGGCCCGTCTTAGGGAGTTCGTGGGGCCCTCTGAGCCTCTTGGCCCGTCCTGGAGACCTTGCGGGCCACTTCGCCGCCCTCTTGCGGGCCTCCTAGACCGCGCGCACTGGCCCTATTGCCACCACACTACCAGAAAAAATATCACTCGGCCCCTGTGAAGAGCAGATAAACTTCTCACGGCTACCTTCCCCGCAGAAGCTATGATGAACACATACTGCGGCGTCAGAAACAGCTTCTGTCCACACCATGTCGTGCCTACATGGGTGTGCTTCCACAGACACCGCCTCAACCACCGCGTTCCTACCTTCAGGCCTGCTTGCCTGCATCCCTCCTCGGCCACCTCCACCTCTAGCGGCCACCTCCTCCATCCACGCCTCCCCTTACCCGCGAGGCCCCAAAGACGCTCCACTTCCACGTCCACGCCATGGCGGGCAGATTCCGCGGCCGGGAGGCCGCGGGTCAGCCCTAGTCAGCTACAGCGCTGGCATCGGCGCGTGCGGGAGGGGCGACTAGTGGCAGTGGGCACTGGCGCTGCTGAGCGAGGTGTGCGGGAGGCGAAGACGGAGCCCGACGCCATCTGTGCCAGAATTCTGGGTGTGGCGCGTGCGAAAACGGGCTGCAGTGCTGCCCCCGAGCGCCCGCAGCGCCCCGGCGCCCTGCGCCAGCTGTCTTGCCCGCCAGCGGAGGTGTCACTCTCCTCCTCCTCCTCCTCCTCCTCCTCCTCCTCCTCCTCCTCCTCCTCCTCCTCCTCCTCCTCCTCCTCCTCCTCCTTTCTCCTCCTCCTCCTCCTCCTCCTCCTCCTCCTCCTCCTCCTCCTCCTCCTCCTCCTCCTCCTCCCCCCGTGCCAATGACCCCCCAGGCTTCTTGGTTCTCGATGTGGTCGGGGACGCACGGGGCAGCCTTTAAGGATCCCTGCTGGGGTCCGACGAGCACCCCGACCACGAGGGCCAGGGAGTGGGGGTCGGGGCGACAAAGGCTTAATTCGGCCAGCTCGTGCATGATTGGAGCCTGCCATGGCTCGAGGCTGAGCGTCAGTAAGCATACAGTGGTTGACTGGGGCCCGGGGACCCAAACCCATATTCCGATGCTCGGGATAGGAGTTTGGGGTACGGAGGCAAAGAGCTACGGACTCACGGAGTTCGCATGCAGCACTCAGCCGGTCGTTTCGACAGGAGCGACCAGGGCCCAAGTAGTAGTTGAACATCTCACTGCCGTAACCACCACGCGGGTGGCCTGTATGTGCATCATGCGTACTGCTTACCGCCGCTTCGCCTTAAGGGTCGGGGACTACGGACCACTGCACAGCAAGTTCGCGGTAGCCCCTGGCCCGCTGATTCGACCGGATCAGCTTGCCATTCAATATGCTGCCCCCCCACGCCCATTGCCCAAAGGGTCGGGGACTAAGGACCACTGCATAGCAAGTTCACAGTAGCCCCCGACCCGCTGATTCGACTGGATCAGCCTACCAGCCGCCGCGCGCGCAGCCATCGTCAAGCACATCGCTTTAGCCGCCTGCCGCTGCTGCAGCTCTTGGGTCAGTGATGTGCGTGTCTGCTCGGGTGTGCGGCCGGCCGAGGGGGGGCGATTCGTTATTTATCCTCCCCGCTCGGGGCGAGATAACTGCGCTTCCTCGTCGCCGTCTCTGTCGTGGTCTCTCTGTCTCTGTCTCTTAACCCTTGCGCGTTGTACTATATAGCTTGCACCGCCTTCCGTTACATGCTCATATACACGCCCCCCCACCCGTCCTCATCGGTTGGGTACTTCCTAATCCGTTCACAAGAGGGCCCCGAGTGAAGGGCAAGCTGGCGCGGGAGGTATGCCCGTGCGAACGGTTCACGTGTTGGCCAAAGCATGCAAGACTGAGGTCTGTTCGCTGCCCCTGTTAAGTAGCTGTGAGTTCTCTATTGCAAGCTATGGGGGGAAGCTCACACGTCGCCCGCTTCCGTTCACAAGAGGGGCCAGAGTGAAGGGACATTCTGTTCGCTGCCCCCAGATACAAGCTCGCTTGCAAGTAGGGCGGGTCTGCACAACCCACGTGCGTTCCGAGCTCTGGACCCGCTGGCACTCAGAATCCGAGGGGGGCAAAACTACTCCCGCCCGATGGCGATCGGTTCTAGTACGGTGGCTGCTTCGGCTGGTCAGGTGGGGCTCATTGGCCACGCCTGGAAAAGCCACCGGTGCGCTAGGCAGCCCACCAGTGTAGTGCGGCTGTTGCCGCCGTGCCTGGTGGGAACACCGGTGAGCTGGGCAGCTCACCGGTGCGAAGCGGCTGCTCTGGGCCGGGCCTGGTGAAACACCGGGCGTGAGATAAGTCCCAATGAGTCCCCCTAAGGGGACCCAAGTAACCTTCATGAGGGAATCAAGGAGCCCCCGCGAGGGGCTCAAGAGGACCCTACAAGGTGGTCCAAGGGAACCATGCGGCGGGGCTCCTGGGGGGGAGCAGTGTGGGAGCGCAGGGAGGCCCAAAGAGGGGTCCCAAGAAGCCCCAAAAAGGAGCGCCACCCACAATCCCACGTAGTGGGATAGCGTCGTTTGCCATCATAAGCCCTGTTGCCTAATGCATGCTGGGACCTTGTCCCCTCGTGCGTTGCATGCTGATGCCGGGGCGTTCGCCCCTCAAGAGCACCCAATTCAGTGGTGGTGGCATCCAGGCCCCCCGCCCTAATCGAGGGGGCCCTGGCTGTCATTCAGGGGCGCCACTGGGCCATGCACACCCCGACCCCCCCGCTGACAATCGGGAGTCCGAAGCACTTCTTGAGCTGCGCGACCGCATCCCTGTCTATTCGTGCCTGGCCCCCGTGTCTTAGTGGACCTCTGCCCCCGCAAGTTCACTTCCCTTCGGGATGCCACCCCCTAGGAGCCCAGATCCGGGGATCGCTAAGAAGGGCTGCGGGGTGAGGAGGGAGGGTAAGGAGGACCACCAGTCGGACCAGTAGGATTTCTGCCTGCAGGAGATTGTGTGTTCGGCCCCTGCGCCTTTGCTGGCTTTGTCAGGTCCGTGGATCCGTACCCTCCCCAGTTTTGGGTCTTGATTTGGGCCCCCCCTGTTCGCTCAGCCCTACCCCGAGGGTCCGGCGAATGGGGAACCCATTCTTGCACCCAACTGTCAGTCCGTGCTAATCCTCCTCCTCCTCCTGCTCCTCCTCCTCCTCCTCCTCCTCCTCCTCCTCCTCCTCCTCCTCCTCCCCCTCCTCCTCCCCCTCCTTCTCCTCCGAGAAGGAGAGATGCCCTCGCCGGAGGTGGCGGGGCTTCTAAGAAGGCCTCTGGCCTGATGAGAGGTGTGCTGCGCTTTCGGGGAAGGCTTCGAGAGCTTCTCACAAGGCCGGGGGACTTCCGAGCCTTCTGAGAAGGCCCGCCCCTTCTCATTTCCCCTCCTCCCTCCCAGCCGTGCAGGCCATTCGCCTGCTCACTGTGCTCACTTCTGCAGGGGTGGGGGGGCGCGGACGAGTGCGAGGAGGAGGGGGAGGAGGGGCAGCAGGGGGAGGTTGGGGATGGGGCGGACGGGGAGTAAGGGGCGGGTAGAGGGGGAGGAGGGGGAGGACGGAGAGGGGGGTGGAGCCTAGCCCAGCGTGGCATATGGCCGGTGGGAGGACAGGGAAGAGAGAGGAGGTGGAGGAGAGGAGGAGGAGGAGGAGGAGGAGGAGGAGGAGGAGGAGGAGGAGGAGGAGGAGGAGGAGAGGAGGAGGAGGAGGAGGAGGAGGAGGAGGAGGAGGACCACAGTACACCCAAGAGTCATCAACGATGTTGGAATAAACCCTCCCTCTAAGCTCCCTCTTCAGATG